GGAACACCTTAATTCCAAGAATAGATGCTTTGTTCTTTTGCTGTGATCATTAAAGACTCTTTAAATGGTAAGGGACTCTTTTCGCTTTGTCCTGCTTATCTATGGCCAAAAAAAGGGAGGGGGGAGCCAAGTCCCAGGAGCCTGATACCTGCATTGCAAAATTCAGATAAGCAAGAATTCTGAAGAATGGTGGTGTGTCAGCCTGCATATTGTTTTGAAAAGTATGAAATGGGCAGGTTTGCCTTTCAATGTGAACCGACTCATATTTCTCCTCCATCCTTAGCCTAGAGTGCCTGCTGAGCTATTCTGAGTTAGTATCAGAGGCCATGAGACAAAATTGGACTTAATTAGGCGTGATGAATATCCAAACTCTGCTACCTTGCAAAGGATGTATCAGAGCAAGAGAGCTGCAGTGAGATGATTCTCTCATTATTTTCTTACCTTTTGGCCCTTGTTGCCATTGCATTGGCAAGTATGCTGAGAGGATGGATCACCTGTGAACTGACAATAACATTTCCCAATGGAGTTAGTCATAAGGAGTTATATCTAAGGTAACATCTCCCAAAGTAATTGAGAGAAGATCTGCAGTATGCCATGTTCTCTTGCACTCCAAAAGTAGACAAGCCCCGGTGGAAACAGCCTCCTGCTCCAATATATATACATGTCCCCGCAGCTGAGGCTGAAAGGAAAATCTCCTGTCACATTTATGCATGTTAATTTATGAGAAGAAATGTTACTGGTACTAGTGCGATTTGCTCGGTGGTGGAAGGAAGGTGCCAGGCAATTAAAATATAACGACAATCAGGCATTTGTCTTTGCTCTTCATACCCAGAATGTACAGTGTGTCGTGTTCAGGGCCGTCTTTATCATATGCGCCGCCAGGGTGCAAAGATCCACCCAGCGCCCCCAAATTTAGTTAATTTCGCATGCACGCGCTGTGAGAATGACAAGCACCATGGTTGAGTCTGACAAAAGCCGCCGTTGTGAATGATAAGCACCACCACTGGCGCGGTGCGTCTTTGGTAAATGGGCGCACAAAGTCGAAAGTCCTTTAGTGAAACAGTAGGTATACATTTCGGTAATACCTAGGTACAGTGGTACCTCGGGTTACATAGGCTTCAGGTTACATACGCTTCAGGTTACAGACTCCGCTAACCCAGAAATAGTACCTCAGGTTAAGAACATTGCTTCAGGATGAGAACAAAAATCGTGCTCTGGCGGCGCGGCCGCAGCAGGAGGCCCCATTAGCTAAAGTGGCGCTTCAGGTTAAGAACAGTTTCAGGTTAAGAACGGACCTCCGGAACGAATTAAGTACTTAACCCGAGGTACCACTGTATATATGTATTTTGTTTTTCTAGCTTGATTAAAATTATTTATTATTTCATAGCAGGTTGATACTTAAGAGCTCAGGCAGTTTCAGCGGTGGACGCTTGGCGCCCCTCAGAATTCAGTGCCCGGGTGCTCCACACCCCTTGCACTCCCGGGTAAAGACGGCCCTGGTTGTGTTTAGTATTTCAGACAGCGGAGCTCTGGAAGGTAAAATATGGCTTATAAGGAAGGATGAATGAGTTCAGGTGGGATCAAGTTGAGCTTAATCTGTTGGTGTTGGTTTGTTTGTTGTCGGGATCTGTCTATCCTAGGAGACAATGGAGGAGAGCACCTTTGGGGGTGAAGTAAATAAGGGGCCCCAAGCGAGGACCAAGCTTGTAAGAACAGGATTGTCTGACTGAACTGCATAGAATCCCAGTTACAATTCTATTTCTAATGCAAATGGGAATCCATAATGCATAATGAAATAGTGTCGCCCCAAAGCAGAAAATTCAACTGAATCATTTCTCTAAACACTTTCAAGATACAGATTATAAAGTTACAGGGAGATTTCCCCAGTGATTAGTAAGCAGAAACAGGCCCACAAGATGAATTGCTGCCCTGACATTATTTGTTTGTGCTGTAGTTACAGAAAGCTACGGTAGCAGCGCAGGAGGCTGCAGATCTTGGCTCAATATCTTGCTAAGTGGTTTGCTGTTACATCAGCAGAGTTAAAGGAAGGAAGCTTTCTCTCTCCTTTTTCCTCCTTAAATTTTTTTTTTAAAAAATGTGTAACTTTAGTCCAGGGATGGTAACTTCACTTCACAGAGAGCAAATGGAAAGCTTATTCATCTCTTCCCTTTTCTGAATGCTGAGTCTTCTAGGAAGGACCAGGAAACCAAGCTATTCACCTTCTTTTGTTTAAAGGATTAGCTTCTGCAGCAGAATGTCAGCAGTTTTCTGCCCTAGCTGACAAAATCCAGCTAGTGCTAAGCAAAAAAACATATAAAAAATATTGGGCAGCTAAGATTTCTGTCTCTGTTTTAGCAAAGCTTACAATACAACCCTGTTTTTATGTGCTTAACTTTTAAGGTATTTTATTTTAAATGAGAAATGTTCTCATTAATGACTTCAAAAATATTTTTTTGCCCATTGAGATCACAGTGTCTTCATTTGAATTAACTAATTAAAATTTATCTGAATTTTGGTTGAGCTTTGAGGATTGCAGCCAAAGCCATACAATAATTAAACTGGATTCATACATGCTTCCTGACAACTAGACAGACACAATTTGTACCTGCAACAAATTATTTCAGTGTATCCATTGTGCTTTGGCCAGGGATTCCAGCCATGCCCTGTCTCAAGATTCTGTAAGGGTGAGGAACTCAAGCATGGCATTCCACACACCCTATATATTTCTTTTTCCATTGGAATTCAATATTTTGTGGATATTGAGCATGCCACTAGGCAGTTTCCAGATGTTTCCTTTCTTCTTCTCCTTCTCCTCCTCCTCCTCCTCCTCCTCCTTCTTCTTCTTCTTCTTCTTTTTCCTAACACTTACTTTTTATTTATTTTTAAAAAATAGTTTGTACTTCCACAAACTCCAATTTCTCCTGAGGATTCTGAGACCACCCTCTTCTTTCTTAGTGGCCTCATTTTAGCACCAATCCTGTCAGCACTTGCCACTTGCATCCAGTATAATAGAGAATAATGAACTTGCAGGAAAGTGCCAAGCCTTTCTTTACCCTGAACTTGAATATTTAGACACGCACTACCAAAGCCTAAGAGTCTGGAATTGCAGTCCACTGATTTCAATGGGAGAGTTTTAGGCATGTATATATGTATTTATTTAAATCCTTTTTAAAAAAAATTGCTCTTACTTCCTTAGGCGGACAGAGCGATGTACAAAAGCAAAAGGAGAAGTAAAATGTAACAGACAATACGAACAACAATTTAACTCTCCCTCTGAAATTAATGGGACTTTAATGTTCCTAATTTTGCAGTCATTGTTCCCCACATGTTTTTATTTTCTGTCAGAAGAGTAAACACATTGTTTCCCCTTCTAAAAACAGATCAGTGTGTCAGCACAACCTTGATCCCTGTGTGGCTCAGCTGTGGCTATGACGTGCTCAGAAACTTCACTGTTGGAATGCAGCTGGTGTTAAGGATCATACTGACAGAAACACATGTGTAGCCACCAGTGTTTTAACCTCCTAATTAAAAGTTAGGGGAGGGCAGATGCTGATGTGATATGAAGTCTTCTTGGAATTATATCTTCAGCTTGGGTGTAGATATTAGGGGAATGCATGGACCCGCCCTGTGCAATGTTACTTGCACAAGTCACCAATAACTTTGGAAATATTGTATAGATCAGTGCCCTTGTTCTTATTTTTTTGCCACCCATTCTTCCAGTTCCCTCACCTTCATTCTGAGTGATTAATGAGACATGTGCATTGTTGAAACTGCCTTTCAGGATAGTTAGGCAATTTGGTGCCATGCACATTCATATAAACAGATGGCAAGAAGAAGAAAGCAGATAGCAGGAGGTGAGGTCTTGATTGATCACCTAGGAAGAATCCAGTGAAAAGTCCGCCACCATATCCAGATTGCCTTTTTCTTTCCAACTGAACAGAGAGTGTGAACAAGGCTTTGGGCTACTCTCGTGTTTGTCTGGGTTTCATTTACCCTTGTCAGAAGATCAAGGACTCCTGAGCTTGGCAATTTCCATGATGCCTTGGAGAGACTACACGTGTCTGGGGAATATCAAAGGCCTATGTACAACCTGCACCCCCCGAAATCTGGAAAGAATCTTTGCTGCTCCCACCTCAGAAAAGTAATATGGGCTTTTGGGTAAGAAGGTGCACAAGTTATAGGTGCAGAGGCCTTAAGCTCTCATGTATTTTGAAGTGATTCCATTAGTGGATGAAGCCATCATAATGATAATGATGATGATGATGATGATGATGATGATAGATTGTCAGGTGTCCAGCAGATATCCATGGGGTAGATGTTAGCTTAATTTGGAATCTGATGGAATATGGAAAAAGTCCACCCATTTTATAGGTCTGTGAAACTTTCCCTTTAACCCAGGTTAAATGACAGGGATTCTTTATTTGTTTAGCAACCAGTCAAATACAGGTTGAGCCACATCTAGTTTGGGGTTGTTGTTGCTTTTTTTTATTTAAAAAAAAACAGGCCCAAAGAAGCGTAAACCCAACCCTTGGACCCATAGTTTTCAGAAATGCAGATCTGAGGCCCTGTGCACCAAACTAGATTTTAGAGGTCCTAATACACCAACAGCCAATTGTGTGGTAAAATCTAGAATATACTGATGTGTCCTAGACTATTCTAATATATCATATGGTATGAATGAACCTTTACAAGTTCATTTAGACTAGCTTTCGCTTGTAACATTTTTTTAAAGGAAATATTACTATGACAGACGACAGATGTAACTTCCACCAATGCTTCCCACCCCCACACCTTGTCTAGGCCATCTTTAAGGGGTTTCCTCTTTGGACTTTATGCCAGCTGCTCATGGAACAACATTTCGCACCATGCCATGTCAGTCACGAGACTAAAGAAGATAGAAGAACTGGGCGGCCAGCCAATCAGCTGTCACCACAGTTGGCCTGGCAACTGCATGGCGAGTGGAGAAGTGAGGAAGGCAGCTTGGCTTTCGCCTCCTCCCCCTGCTAATCATTCATTTTAAATTAGAACGGTAACAAAAACAATCTGTGGCAGCTCTTTATGTACCCAAGAACTAAAAGGTAAGCTTGTGCTGCGACACTTTTTGTTGCCGCTGCTCATTTTGTAGTGTATTTGTGCCTTTATTTATTGAATACAGTGGAACCTCAGGTTAAGTACTTAATTTGTTCTGGAGGTCCGTTCTTAACCTGAAACTGTTCTTAACCTGAGGCACCACTTTAGCTAATGGGGCCTCCTGCTGCGGCCGCGCCACCGGAGCACGATTTTTGTTCTCATCCTGAAGCAATGTTCTTAACCTGAGGTACTATTTCTGGGTTAGCGGAGTCTGTAACCTGAAGCGTATGTAACCTGAAGCGTATGTAACATGAGGTACCACTGTATCTTCTTGGTGTCTGTCATCTTTTAACATGGGAAGCTTTCAGGTAGCCATAAGAATAACTGCGCCTCATAGGCATTTGGTGAAGGTGAAAGCCATTCAAAGTGCTTAGCTGTTGGCATTATAAATGTTAAACATGAAGTTTGCGAGGAGGATTTACACAGTATGTGGAAGCTTCAGGTCAATCTGTCTATCCAGTATTGGTATACATATTCCAGTAATAGTCCATATGGAGTATCAATGCAACTTATCAGGATGTGGCTGAGGAAGGGCAGGACATTTCTGAGGTTGGGTCTGCATGGGCACAGCAATAGGAATGCCACTGGTGTGCCCACAGTGCCCAGACCCCTCCAAAACCCCAACCCCAGCCCTGTCCAGGTAAGCTGCCCTGACGAGGTGATGGAAGGGGGCGCTGCTTCAACACACAGGCTGCTACTAGTATATTACTTGCCTGTTTTCTCTGCCCATTTACCTTCCTATTTTAGATTTTGTGATTTTGTTGTGTTCACTCAAGACCTTGGGAACTGTTTGGACTTATTTGCTGATGGGAGAAAGTTGTTGCATGAACTGGATGGAAGCATAGGATGGCTGCTTGCAGTATAATTAGGTGCAGCCTTCCCTAACTTGGTGGCTTCCATTTCCTAATACAGTCGTACCTTGGATCCCGAACACCTTGCAAGTCGAATGTTTTTACTCCCGAACGCTGCAAACCCAGAAGTGAGTGTTCAGATTTGCAAACGTTCTTTGGAACCTGAATGTCCAACAGGGCTTCTGGGGCTTCAAAATGTTCGGAAACCAAAGCGTGGCTTCTGATTGGCTGCAGGAAGCTCCTGCAGCCAATCAGAAGCCACGCTTTGGTTTCCGAACATTTGGGAAGTCAAATGGACTTCTGGAATGGATTCGGTTCAACTTCCAAGGCACAACTGTAATCTGTAACATAGAATTGACATTTATTTGGAGTTGCCATGTCTTCTTTAATTCTCAATTTCTTTCTACATATAAACTTAAATTTATTTCATCTTCAAACCAAGCTTTCTTTAATGTTTCTCCTGTGGGAGCACTTGTGATGATGAAGAACATTATTTGTCATGAGCTGGAATGAATGCCAGGCACAGTCTCAGGTAAATATGAAAAACGACACCTTTGAACCATCTGTGTTATTTATATCGGTTCTATGTTGGAATATTGCAAAGATAGGCCCTCTCTCAACTCTCATTTATGCTGTCAGATAGGGTCAAACTGATGTAGAAGCAGTAATTAGATAGAACCTTGTGCATAGTTATGCAGGAATCCTAAAATCACATACACATGCAAGCTCAAAGATGGCCTTTATGTATACCAAAGCTTTGCATAAAAGGTAAAGGTAAAGGGACCCCTGACCATTAGGTCCAGTCGTGGCCGACTCTGGGGTTGCGGCGCTCATCTCGCTTTATTGGCCGAGGGAGCCGGCGTACAGCTTCTGGGTCATGTGGACAGCATGACTAAGCCACTTCTGGTGAACCAGAGCAGTGCATGGAAACACCGTTTACCTTCCCGCCAGAGCGGTACCTATTTATCTACTTGCACTTTGACGTGCTTTCAAACTGCTAGGTTGGCAGGAGCAGGGACCGAGCAACGGGAGCTCACCCCGTCACAGGGATTCGAACCGCCGACCTTCTGATTGGCAAGTCCTAGGCTCTGTGGTTTAACCCACAGCGCCACCTGCGTCCCTAAAGCTTTGCATAGCAGCCCTTAAAGTATTTTCATTATGCCAAGTGGAGCAGAACTGTGAAACTCTAAATTACTGGGTGACAAAACAGGCACAATTGTGGCAACAAATTTTCAGCTGGACCACCCAAATGGATCTTAGGATGCCATGCTGCTAGACCAGAACCCCACAACCCCATCCTGGCAGTGGCAGGATGTGCAGTGGCAATCATTCGTCACAACATCTATAGTTATAGCAGGAAAGGGCTGGAGTTCAGTGGTAGAAAACATCCAGTGCCTACAGAGGGTCCAAGGTTCAATCTCTGGTCTCTCCAGGTAGGAATGAAAAAGATTTCCATCTGAAACTCTGGAGAGCTGCTGCCTATTGATATAGATAATTCTGAACTCAATGGACCAGTGCCGTAAAGCAATGTCCTATGGTCCAGCATTAAGCCTAGATTGATGGAAAGGTCCAAGGACATCACCAGGGAACCTGTTGCTGGGCTCCATTTTCCCTTCCCCCTGACCATTAGACATGTTGGGTGGAGCTAATGGGAGTTGGAGCTGAAGTTCAAAACATCTGGAGCATTAGAGGGTCTCCACTCCTGCCTTAACCCAGTGTTGGAGCCCTCCAATGTATTCATGTTTGGAAGTAAGTAGTATTTGTTTTAGTAGTGCTTACCCTTCTAAGTTTATGATTGTATCCATAAACTCACTCCTATATGCTACAACTGTGGGGTGCAACGGGGAGAAGGGAGGAGAAAACCAGAGTGTGCAACCAGACCACTGACCTATCAGTTTTCAGAAATTTAATTTCAGAAGTGTTTACAATCGAGGGGTAGCTAGCCAGGCATGTATACAGTTACAGGCACTCATTTCATTATTTCTCTTTGAAAAAGGTTATTCTCCTTTTCTACAACAAAATGACACTTATTTCCAAATGAATGTGTCCCGCATTAGGACAGCAGAAGCAAGCCCCATTTTGTTCCTGTGGTCATGATGGGTGCTATGATGTAAGTGAATTTACAATTTGCAACTTCAGATGATCAGAGTATTTCTCTTTCTATCAGGGCTGGCAACTTTGGTTTGTTTGTTTTTGTGCTCTGATGGAATGCAGAAGAAGGGAATAAGGATGTAAAGCAGGGAATGGGGAGGGGGAGGGGAGGGAAATGTCAAGTGTGTGATTCACAACTGAAGCAGCATTCATGGCCATCTAAAATCTCGCAGCTGCACCATTGCATTCACTCAAGTGTAGGTCATACTATGTTCAGTGGCGCTTACTCCCAGATAAGAGTGCATTGGATTGCAGCATTACACTTAGAGATGGCAACTCTATGACCCCTCCAGCCACTGCTCTGACTCCTCAACCCACAGCAACAGGACTCCTTCTACCTGTTACGTACAGGCTAGATATCAGGGTAAGCTGCTCTTTTTGAAAGTACTACAGACTATCCCACAGAGTCTAAACTATGAAGGGAACACATTGCTAAATAAGTCCTAATGGATTTCTAATTGTCACAGATAACTCCTACGCAGAAGAGAACACTCATAGACTAAGCAATTTGGTTTCTTGGTTTTTAAAAAGATATTTGCGAAGTACATTGCTGGTACTTCCAAAACCAATTCATTTGTTTTCTATCTGGACAATGTAATACTGCTGCATGTCAAAGACTTCTGCATATCCTGTGAAGGATGGAGATCAGGAGGGGTGTCCTACCTTGGACAGAATTGGCAAGGAAATGGCGGCTGGCAGGGACAGGGGTAAAGTGACAGAGAATGGTATATGCTAGATGAACCCGGAATATTAGATGCTGTGCTTTGGACTAATCATTTGGGACATGTCAAGTTGATCAATTCAGATTACATCTAGCTCTTAAACATGAGTTGGTCCCTCTAGCGGTGCTGTCAGACTAATAGCAATGCTAAGAAAGATGTCTTCCCTTCAGAGATGAAGCAAGCAATATCCAGGCAGAGCAGAACTTTTTGCCCCTCCTTCCTTCATGACGCTGAATTCCATTCTCAGCTCCTTTAGCAGGGTTAACCCTTAGCTTACTAAGGAAGAGATACGGTGCGCAGTGCTTGGGCTTTTCTTCTGCTCAATATTAATTTCCTCCATAAAATATTTTTTTTCTACACAGAGTCAAACCATACTGCTGAGTATCAACAGGGTTGCCATTTGGCTATTTTTGAGTGATGCAGCATTGCCTCATGACTTTCTAAGGAGCTTATATTTGGCATCAAGAAACGGGCAATTGAAAGTGCAGCACAATTCTAGATGTGTCTTTCCAGGGGTACGAGATGACTCTCAGGGTCCCTTCCAGCTCTTCAATTCTATGACTCTATGATTTCACTGAAGGTTGCAAACTAACTCGAAGAAATAAAATTTTACCCAGCTCTTTGTTGAGGAGATTGCGGTGGTATACACTCCCTTGAGGCAGACTTGTGAGGAGAGAAAATGGCTGACTTTACCACACAAGACAACTCCCTCAACTCCCTCACAAGTATCTCAGCCTTTAAATTGGAGCCTTATACTAGACCTTCACAACAACAAAGGTATGTTCACAGGTGCATCTGCCACTTAGAAGTTTTGAATCCAGATCTCTCCCCCCCTTTGTGAGTTTCTATGACATCTTGATTGAAATTTGGAAGTTCAGCCAGATGTTACAGTGGGCAGGAGGCATATCTGGCTCATATATGGGATGTTTTATACTTTACACACCACATACCTATGTTTTACATCGGTGTCTTCCTTTGTTAAACATATTGGTACAAACAGTTTGTTATTATGGGGTCACACAGTTGTCTTGTTTTATCAGAACACAACACAGCTGTTTTACTACGTTCACAAATGTTACCACAATGCCCACAACTGCCTTTTCCTTTAAATTTGATATTTGGCTTTGAAATAACACACATAATCTAGATAAGGTTCTTACAAATGATTGTTATTGACTGCTTTGGGGGAGTATCCAGTTATTATTTATTTTATGCAATTTTCTTACACGCTTTCCCACAATTGTTTCCCTAAATGTGTGCAAAGAAAAGGTCACAAGTGCACCTTAATCTGCTTATCTTCCTCTCCCCTATCTTCATAGCCCTGACACACTCAATCCAAGCACTGTCTATCTGGCTTTACATTTAAAGTAACTACCTCAAAATAGAAAGAACCCTCCAATGTCTGAGGGCATTAATCATACATCGCTGCTGGCATCCATTCCATTGCAAAAGGATGGAACATTGCTAATGGCCCTGTCTCTGATCTTTGCTTTCATTACAAGAACTTCTGGGCTGTAGATGTTCCTTGTCTATCTTTAACAATTTCTAAACATATCCTCCTACATAACTGCTAGCTACAAGCTATGGGTATGATCCAGCTGAAGTCAAGCACTTTTTGGTCCCATTGGAGAGGTTCAGTTACTTGGTTAACTTATGTTAACCATACAGGGGAAGGTTGTAGCTCAGTTGTGGAACATCACCTACAGTATGCATGCAGAAGGTCCCAGGTTCATTCCCTGCCATTTCCAAGTAGGTTTGGGAGAGACCTCTGTCTATAATACCAGAAGGTCATTGTCAGTCCATGTGGACAATACTGAGGTAGATGGACTATGGGTCTAAGGCAGTTTTCTGTGTCTCTGTTGAACACAGTGTGATTTTAAAGTGCCTAATTTTGACTCAGTCATGCTCCATGATTCTAAGAAGGTGGGACTGAAAGGCACTGCTTATGGTACATTTTAAACTCAATTACAGTTCAAAGTGAGAAGCATTGCCTCAGCAGAGGGTGGAACATGGGTACACAAAAACTGCTCATGATAAAGGTAAAGGACCTCTGGATGGTTAAGTCCAGTTAAAGGCAACTATGGGGTTGTGGTGCTCATCTCGCTTTTCAGGTTGAGGGAGCTGACGTTTGTCCTCAGACAGCTTTCCAGGTCATGTGGCCAGCATGACTAAACTGCTTCTGGCACAACACATGACGGAAACCAGAGTGCACGGAAACACCATTTACCTTCCTGCCACAGTGGTATCCATTTCTCTACTTGCACTAGTGTGCTTTTGAACTGCTAGGTTGGCAGAAGCTGGGACACAGCATTGGGAGCTCACCCCGTTGCATGGATTCGAACCGCCGACCTTCCGATCGGCAAGCCCAAGAGGCTCAGTGGTTTAGACCACAGCGCCACCCGCTCCGTGCTCGTGACAAAGAGGGCCAAGTGTACAATAGTGATGAAACATGTTGTACCTTAAAAGAGCACTGGTGAAATGTGCATATTTCAGACATAGGAGACACCAACACAAAGAATTTGGGGACGTATCAGCATCTGGAAAGCAACGGAAGTGGCATTTATGCATATAAATGGGTGTTTTCAGCTCCAAAAGCATTTCTCCCTCACCTCTGAAAAATGTCCTCCATAAAGTCAGGGGTCATTCTGGAATGGCACCCTGCCAAGTGCAAGGGTCTGGCTCTGGAAGGGAATATTGCCTTCTGCATCTTTTGCACAGGTGGAGGGAGGGATCCTGCCTTATTTTTAAAGTTCCTAAAAATAGTTAAGTGTTGTAGAATAATAAGTAAAAACCAAATGGTCCTCCCTGCAGTCTCTGCATGCCAATAACACCAGTGTGACAGGCACAGCGTGAGTTACGATCTTAAGATTCATTGCAGGGCTCCTTTTCATCAGGCACCAAACTGGAGTAGTGTGTTGCAGAAAGCTTAGTGTGTGTGCAGCCACTAGACATTTGCTCCCGCTGCTTAAAATAGAACGTCTAACTGCGATGGATTAATCTTCCTTTGGCTCTGGTTTTGCTTAGATTACTGTAGCTGCTACTGTCTGAAATACCGCTGTACAATACAAGTATTTCACATAAGTCACTTAACATACTGTCTGCAAAGACCATGCATCTCCTCTGAATCTGCCAACCTTATATATATATCTGTCTATATGACAGAGGAGGAGGTTCAGCTGTGTTTTGTAACAATTTCATTAAGCATTTTCAAGGTCAGATCCACAGTCCAGCTAAGGTGAAATAGTAGGATTTTAAGCCATTGTAGTCCTATTGACGTTAATGGGACTAAATTGGTTTAAGTGCAGAGACTTCAGCATAATAATTGGGAATGTGGATTGATCTTGTTAGTTGCCTCCATTAAATTAAAGCTTTATGCCAGATAATGGCATTTTACAAAACAAGCAAACAAACACCCGAAAAACATTAACCTGCAGTCATGGAATCTTCTTTTTCTATGCATTGCAGACCTGGGGATTTTCCCAAAGTGCTTTGAGTCTTTTGAATTGTGCTGAATTTTAGTGGTTGGTGATAAACTGATAGTGATTTGAGCAGGGTCAGGAACTTGTGGACTTCCAGACATTGTTGGACTGCACCTCCCATAACTCCTGACTATTGGCCATGTCGGCTGGAGATGATGGAAGACAGATATAAATTACAGCTGAGAGGCCTTTAAAGAATCTCTTCTTAAATCATCTCAGTTTAGGGTTGAGCAGTGATGTGGCAAAGTTTGATGATGACACCAGATTGTGCAGAGTGGTGAGGAAAGTGATTGTGAGGAGTTCCAAAAGGATCTCTCAAAACTTGGTAAATGGGCATTAAAATGGCAGATGTGATTCAATGTAAACATGTGTAAATAATAATAATAATAATAATAATAATAATAATAATAATAATTTATTCCTATACACTGCCCATCTGGTCAGGCCTCCCCAGCCACTCTGGGTGGCTTCCAACAGAATATTAAAAACACAATAAAACATCAAACATTAAAAACTTCCCTAAACAGGACTGCCTTCAGATGTCTTCAAAAAGTCAGATAGTTGTTTATTTCCTTGACATATGACGGGAGGGTGTTCCACAGGGCGGGTGCCACTACCAAGAAGGCCCTCTGCCTGGTTCCCTGTAACCACACTTCTCACAGTGAGGGAACCACCAGAAGGCCCTCATCACTGGACCTCAGTGTCTGGGCAAAATGATCAGGGTGGAGATGCTCCTTCAGGTATACTAGGCCAAGTAAATTTGAGCAAAATATTCCCAACTTCACAATACTCTTATGGGATCTGAACTGGTGGTGACTGGCCAGGAAATAGATCTTGTATATGGCTCAATGAAACTGTCAAACTAGTGTGTGTCAGCGGTGAAAAAGATAAATTCCAGGGATTATTGGGAAACTTATATTGTCTTAGTGACAGCACTAGAACCTGGGGTTTTCCAAAGAAGCTGAAGGTTGGAAGATGTACCGGTACTTCTTCGGCCAGCACATAGTTAATTTTTAAACCTATCCAGTTATTTATGCATTATTACTGTTGTTGTTGTTGTTTTTTAAAACCATTTTAGCTGCTTCCATTATATGTTTGTAAATTACCTTGATACACGTGAAAATTCAGTTGCAGTAGCAGTAGTAGTATTAATAAATTCACAACCACACAATAGAGTAATGACCAACTTAGATGACTTTAAAAGGGGATTAGAAAAAAAAATCATGGAGCTTAAGGCTGCCCATGGCTTCTAGCCATGATGATTGTGTATTACCTCCAGTAGGAGGGCCAGTATGCCTCTGAATGCGAGATTCTGTGGAGCCCAACTGGGGAGGATGCTGTTGCGTTCATGTCCTGCTTGCAGGTTTCCTACAGGTATCTTGTTGGCCACAGTGAGGACAGGATGCTGGAATAGATGGGCATTTGGTTTGGTCCAGCAGGGCTTTTCTGAAGAGCCCACAGGCAGTGTTCAACTACAGTGGTACCTCAGGTTACATATGCTTCAGGTTACATACACTTCAGATTACAGACTCCGCTAACCCAGAAATAGTACCTCAGGTTAAGAACTTTGCTTCAGGATGAGAACAGAAATTGTGCTCCGCTGGTGCAGCGGCAGCAGGAGGCTCCATTAGCTAAAGTGGTGCTTCAGGTTAAGAACAGTTTCAGGTTAAGAACGGACCTCCGGAACGAATTAAGTACTTAAACAGAGGTACCACTGTAGTCCAGCCCACCAGGGCAAGGATTTCTGCTTCCCGTCTCTTCTCTCCCTGCACATACTTGGCACTCTCATCAGATATACGACAGAGGGCTGGAAGAGCCCGAGAACAGATTTAGGCATTGCAGGAAGGAGGGAAGAGAGGGAGAGAACATTCCCTTGTTGAAGAAGTACTTGCGCTGTCCGTGGAGCTCTGCTTTGGATACAACCCAAGGGGAGTCATGTAGCAGGGACAAAGGTGGCAAATGCTCCCGCCTTATTTTTATATATAGAAAAATCAGGGCCAGTCCTTATTTTCTAAGAAATGCTGCCTATATTATGTCCAGAAGTATCACTTAGCTTGTGTTGGCTCTGGCATCTTCTGATTACACTACAGTATATAATGGGATTTCCTCCCCCGCCCTTCTTTTTGCAAATGCTAATAGTTTTGTTAGTGAAAGTGCTGGACTTCTCTCCAATCTAGCTCTGATGCTAGATTACTAAGCAATAACAAGGAAAAAGTAAACAGGGGATTTGCTGATGAATTGGGCCATTGGCCAAAAATAGTACTACATTAAGAGTAAACCTAGTTACTATAGCAACAGAAAGGGAGGGGATGTACCCAAAAGCTAGGGTAGGGTGACAAGACACTTGGGAAGTGCAGAAGCAATAGGGGCACAGGAAATAGCCAAAAGAAAGAGTATGTGATCAACAAAATAATATACCCCCCCCAGAAGGCCAGAATATATATTCTCTATTCACTGTTCATGGAATCGTTAAGCTGATTTGTGCAGCTTTGCAATCAAAAGCCTGGGAATTGAATCAATTCCCTCAAGGTAGACAATAAGTTATGCATGTCATCTTTAAGACCTGGTCCAGAAGCAAGTACAAGCGATAAATTATATAAGACAAATTGTATCTGGGAACATATAACACAAGCTGGCAGAACACAACATGTTTTTGTAATCCAGGTGTAACCTTAGAAAATGTCATCCCAGATGTTCAGGGATTAGTGGACTCAGGGCTAATTCAAAGAACAGTCTGCATATAATTTAGCATTTGGCAGAGCAAAGGTGCACCAATTTATTGTATATGTGCTTATTTATTTATAATCTGTTTTTCTAAACACAGCTGGAGGTATGAATCTGCAAAACCTGGGGCATCCTCTTGTGTGAGAGGATGTGACATGCAGGCTGTTGAATCCAAACCCAGAAGTTTAAACTTAATTAAACCAACGTGTAAATGGAGCTTTCTGGACATTGTGAACTGTGCAGTTCAGTCGAAACAAGGCAGTAATACACTTGATGAAAGAGTAGCAAAAAACTGCTGGAGAAGTGAATATAAACAAAAGGCACATTGAATAACCACATAGCACAGAGCTCAGTATAATAATAATAATAATTTTATTTATTCTAGTCATACCCCACCCATCTGACTAGGTTGCCCCAGCCACTCTAGACAGTTTCCAGCATATACAAAAACATAATAAAACATTAAACGTTTAAAAGCTCCCTAAACAGAGCTGCCTTCAGATGTCTTCTAAAGCTTGTATAGTTACTTATCTCCTTGACATCTGATGGGAGGGCGTTCCAAAGGGTGGGCGCCACCACCGAGAAGGCCTCGTGAGAAGTCTTGTCACCTTCAGTGCCATTCGGGCTTCACAGGCTTCTAGTAAGATAAACAATACACAGTGGCAATCTGTGGGGCAAAGGCAGTGCTCCCCCCATGGGTGTACTCAAGGGTACGCAGTACTGGCACCTATTTTTCTAGAAGGTAATGTTTATACCCATTCTATGTGTGCCCTGCCATGTTGAAATGCACTAATCAGGAGCAAAATCTATAGCATTAGCCTGCCATGGTATGCCTTTTTTGGTTATCAGTTGCTGGCATGCTATATATGCATGACCATGAGGTAGTGGACCAGGGTCGTGAGGGGTGAAAGACCTGTTACTATTTCTGTTCTAGGATCCCTCCAGGGTCCCTGTCTCCAAAGTCCTAAAAGCACTCAATCACCATGAAAGGGAAGCTTTTTAGCCACTTCATGCTCCAAGCTAAACATTTAGGAACACACACACACACACACACACACACACAGACAGACACAAAGTAAGGTCCTTCAGTTTCAACAAACTGGTGTGCAAGTTCTGTCACCTACAATGGAACTACACAGAAAACATAACTTAAGTCACTCCAAAAGAAGATACTGGAGGAATCTTTGCATGAGTTAATACTTTTTTAAAATCCTTTTTGAGCTGTATGGTATCTTTTATTTCTGTCCTTCCAGGCTGTGATGCTTTATAGTACACATTTGTGATTTACCATGTATGTGCACAGAAAATAGTAGATCTGAAAGGCAAAATAAGGAGATCTGCATTTATGATTGCAAAATTGCTATTATTCTATAATTATAAGATTATTATATAATCTTAGAAAGTTGTCTATGCTTAGAAGGGGCATGCATTTGAGTGGGAGTAGTTGTAACTATTATGAAGGGAACCTGCACTTATGAATTTTCCACTACCCTACTGCATATGTGCACTGGCTGATGAATGTAACATGCACACTTAAACAAATAAAGGGTATGTGTGGAATGTTTGCATGAGTAAATGCTTTACTTTCAGCACACCTAATATATAAAGCAGGGTTTGTGCAACGTGTAAGCAAGACAATGGAAAGAAAGAAAGAAAGAAAGAAAGGAAGGAAGGAAGGAAGGAAGGAAGGAAGAATGGAAGAATTTCATGGGAAGATATATAGTGGTCCCAAAGCTCCTAATGTCTTGGCAGCAGTGACTTTTTATTTAAATATGAAATGTCACCTTTCCTCCCATTTAGAATTATTCCTAGTGACTTCACATCCCTGCCTTCACTTGCAAGCACTTTGTCCTCTTGGAGCTGCAAGCATCTCCCGGAGCTCATTCTGCCTCTTTGCACCACTGCAGCCCAACAGCTGAACTCATTTGTAACAAGCTCCTATTTTCCAGTTTGATGTTGCGCTTGAATATTCCCCCTGGCATCTCCGCAGGCACAGCCTGCGTTCTATGATCTGAGCTGCAGAGTTTTTCCACTCGCATAATAACATGCAAAGTATGGTCTGGCGGGTGTCTTGACTTCACCCGTGAGCCTGGAAATGTGATTGATGCACACACACAGCTGAGGTGGGGATTAATTTGTCAACCTGTGCTGAGAAACGTCTACAGTGCACCACGGAATAGCTTGCTAGAGACAGGAGAGTGAGGCTTTCCCGGGGCCAGAGCAAAATGTATCTGCTATGGCAATAAATAGCTCTAATACTCTCACTATGACGTTCATCTCATTCCCACAGAATGGCTGTTATTAATTATTGTGTATTAAACACCAACTGTGTGCTTGACCCTGTAAAAGAAATGTTCTTTGCCAAAGGAGCTTATTAGCAAAGGAAATACATAGCCAGCACACAGAGAGAGAAATTTTAGCTTTTGTCATCCAAGGCATAGTAAAAGTAGCCTTTGGGTGGAATTCAACAGTGCGCTAATAATATTGTTCTGTCAGCACAAGCATTTCCGTTTGCCAGACAAAACCATCTCCCCACCCTCCTTTCCTGCATGCTGTTTTGGGGGTTCTCCTGACCCTCCAAACTGGATTTGGAGGAGGTTGGTGTGAGAGGAGAGAAGGAAAAATTCTTTTGTTCTAGTGCAGGTCCTTGTGCTGGCTTCTATTAGCCCACCTGGTTAGCTGAATTGAGCCATTTGAGTGGGACAGTTGGGCTGCCCGGGGATTGGGACAAACCATTGCCATATCCAATATGCACCAAAGAGCAAGTGATTCTGGCTATAGGACCCATATGATGTGTTTCATTGGTGCAACACCTTCTTGGACTGTACCACTTAGAGCTGTAAGTGGGGAGGCATTTCCCAAGGGGCAGTCAATGTCCTTGCACACACAAAACTTTAATGGCATCTTTCTGATTTGCTAGCTGAATGTGCAGGTGGAGCTTCACATGGTTCAGTGCTCTTCTGTGATACTCCACCTGCAGTGGGAAATGATACAGTCCAGGAGAACATATAACACCTGGACCTCTGCATTTGTAAACAAGGCATAATTTGACATTGTGGGTTCCTCCTCCAGTACAACCTCTTCTTTCTTATTTATTTATTTGTTGAATTAGTTTACTGCTCTTCATCCGAAGATCTCAGTGTGTTTCACAGAATGAAAATACAAGATAAAAGCACAAAATACATAATAAAAACAAGAACAAAACAATACCCCCGGCCACAAACACATTTAAAAGGACATAGGATGTTAATCAGCCAAAGGCTTGGTTGAAGAGGAACATTTTCGCCTGGGGCCTAAAGATATATTAGGCACGAGGAGAGCCTCCCTAGGGAGAGCATCCACAAAGGGGGAGCCACCGCAGAAAAGGCCCCTTCTTGTGTTGCCACCCTTCAGATCTCTCATGGAGAATGCACACAAAGAAAGGTCTCAGATGATGCTTGCAGGGTCTGGATAGATTCATATAGAAGGAAGAGGTATTGTGGTCCTGAGCTATTTAAAGCTTTATAGGTCAAAACCAGCCCTTTGAATTGGGCCTGAAAACTAATTGGCAGTCTGTGCTGTCAGGCCAGGATCAATGTCATACGCTCAAACTGTCGTGCCCTGGTGAGCAACCTGACTGCTAAATTCTGCAATAGGCAGGATGGAGAACTGGGCCACAACTAACAAAATGAATTTCAAGGGAGCGAAATGTAAAGTTCTGCTGTTAGGTAGGCAAAATAAGAAGCACATAATGGGTGACATCTGGCTTGTCAGCAGTACATGTGAAAAGGATCTGGGTGGCTGCTTTTTTTTAAAGTAGATTGCAAGCTAAATATGAGTCAGCAGTTCTGTGTGTGCAAAAAAACAAAAAAGGCTCATGAGATTCTAGATGACATCAACAGAAATATGATGTTCAGATTACAAGAAGTATTGATTCCACTCTTGTTTGCTTTGGTCAGATCTCACCTGGAGTGCTGTGTCCAATGAAAGTACAAACTGGAATGTGCCCAGAAGAGGGTAACACAGATTGTGAGTGGCCTAGAGACCAGTCCTGTGATGGAAGATTTTAGGAACTGGGCATGTTCAGTCCAGAGACAATTAAAAGGTGATATGTTAGCCATCTCCAAATATCTGAAGGGCCCTTACACAGATAATGGAGCAAATTTGTTTTCAGCTGCTCCAGAGAGTGGACCCTGAATTTACAGGTTTGAAACATAGGAAATAAGATTTCAACAAACAATTGAAGATGATGGAGTCTCTTTGGTTAGAGGGTTTGCAGCAGAAGCTGGATGACCATCTGGCAGGGCTGCGATTTCCTGAATTCCACATTATGCCAACTCATATATGTGAATACTCAGCAGCATGCAGATACTACTATGGTTGACTAGCTTCCACACTTTATGTGAGTGGCCTGATTGCATAAGCAATGCCACTTTGGAAGAATGCACTCACACTTAGTGGCCACTTCTCTTTCATGGACAGACACACAAAAAATCACAACTGGCATACTTCTTGTTCATAGAAGAGAAGTCACGTGTGAGCTGCTCTTGGTAGCCTTGGCATTACTCTCACACTTGACCCATCTGTAAATATGGGTGGACTGGAAGGGGTACAATGAGATGGTCCTGTACAAATCTGTGTTAATAGGAGGTGGGAACATAATAATTGGCTACAAACCTGCCAGGTAGGGGATTATCCAAAAGTCAGGAAAGATGCCTCCATCGAGCCATGCAAGCAGCAAAATGAATAATCCTCCAACTTTGGAAAGCCACACCAAGAGCAGAAAACTGTATACAAGACATCCTGCAACTAGGAGCCCATGAGAAAATTGAGCTCCAGAAACTACAAAAAGTCAAGTTTCCAAGATATTTGGAGCACATTTTTAGAACTCTTCACCAAGACTGAGCAAGCTAGTTTCCTGCTGATCCAGAGTGTAGGGCCATTGAATTCAAATTACAAGAAAGGAGATTCTGACTAAACATTAAGAATAACTTTCTGACAGTAAGAGCTGTTCAACAGTGGAACGGACTCCTTTGGGAGGTGGTGGACTCTCCTTCCTTTGAGATTTTTAAGCAGAGGTTGGATGGCCATCTGTCCGGGATTCTTTAGTTGTGATTCTTGCATTGCAGGGCATTGGACTAGGTGACCCTGGGGGTCCCTTCCAACTCTACAATTCTTTGAGTAATACCCACAACCAGGAAAAGTGGGAGGCACAATGCAGGGATGGAAACTTCTGCAATTGTTCATAATCATAAACTTTATTGCACTAGCCAAAGGCCATGGCATCATCTAGAAACACAACAATTTTTACAGTTGTTAACCTGGGATTCCAATGCAGATTTGACACTGATTGATCCTAACTCTTATCTGAGCATGTGAGCTTGAGCCCTGCATGGCACACCAAAGAACTGAACATCAGAAGTGAAAATGCTGTAGCTGTAAAGGGTGTAGGCATGAGGGCAGATGGAGGTAGGGGGTTGGCTGGGCTGGGCTGGGAGGTAGGGAGCAGAGGGAATAAGAGAGTATACTGTTTTATTGTAATGATGTGAAACCCCTAATAAACTATATCTAAAAAGGGGAGAGGTTTTGGCACATACCATGCCTGTGTAAAAAAGAGATCCATCAGGAGCAACAGGCATAATTGTTGTCTGGGAGTGATGCAGGACTGACATTGTAAAGATGGATAAAAGGAATCACTTAAAAGGGAAGGTTGAAGGGAAACTTGTTCAGGTAAGGCTTAATAACGAAGGAAAAAACTGGGGAAAGCAGAAAGGATTTAAGTTATACAAAGGAGAAGAGGACTGGGCAAAAAACACTGTGATGCTTGGGATTCACTTGAGTGCCATTTAAAGATCCAACAAGAGAAACCTTATGATGAGTAGGAGTCCTGACCTTTCTCAGAAGCGAGGGATGTATCAGGTGCACTCTGAGATAAGAGCATGCTCCAGGATCTGGAGGGTTCTCTGAAGCTAGGTCTTCTGATATTACACTGCTCATGTCAGTAGGCAAGGGGTTTCCTGGGTTACTGGGAGTGCTTGTACAAGTAAAAAAAAGTATCTGAATTGTCCTTTTTAGTAGACAAATAGGCTTGGTCCAGAGTCACCAGTATAAGGTGAATATAGTTTGAAAAATAAATAATTGATAGGCTTTATTGTGGTGCTGTGTGTGGTCCAGAGGGCCATGCAACAATACTGGGATGAAGGTGGGCTCTCAAAAAGGCAGTACTTAGTAAACAGTGTCCTGAGCCTATAGCCATCTTAAAGCGAGTACACCCTTTTCAGTAAGTCTGTGTGGTGTAGTGGATAAAGCATTGGCTTAGGGCCAGGGAGTCTGGTGTTCAAACTCCTACTCATTCATGAAGTTCACTGGGTGACTGTAGGCCTGTTGTTCTCTCACCCTAATCTACCTCTAATCTACAGGGTAGTTGTGAGGGTAAAATGAAGGGGTGGGAAATGACCATAGATGGTACCCTGAGCTTGTTGTGGCAAGGGTGACAGAAATAGATAACCCACCTTTATTTTATTATTGCATTATCTTCCACTTTCTCACCAGAAACCCATGATAGTATAAAACAATTATTTCTGTTACACATGCCAGAGAGCTGGCAACAAATTTGTGAGGTAGGTGAGGCTGAGAGACTGTGACAGGCTCAAGTTCACCCCACAAACCTTTTGGCTGAATGTGAATTTGAACTTGGGCCTCCCTGGCCTTTAACACTCTATGACCCCAGTAAGCAGAACCAGTTAGAGGCTCTCATGTCAGTGGCTGAGCCAAATTCAATTCCTTTTTTTAAAAAAATAATATTTATTAGTAGTTTCAGAATTATAAGAAGAAAAAAAAAACATTAAAAAACAACACTATAATACATAAAAAGAAAAGAAAAAACACAAAAACCAATACAACAATACAACAAAAAGATAAAAAACAACAACACAAATCCCAAATTACATATCTAAAACTTCCAATTGCTTGTTTCATTGACTTCCTCACACCTCCCTTTTTGTATTCTAGTTTAATTAGTTATTTCAGCAAATTCTTTTCATCTTTCTCAATTTTTGTTAAAAATTTTATCCTAAGCTAATTTAACCTAATAATTAGCTCAACAAATCCTTTCCATCTTTCCCCATATTCTATTATCACATTACCTTAATTTATTTAACCTTATCTTACCCTAAAATACCTTAAAGCTTGAATCTTAGTTATCAAATATACATTACTCCTGATATCATTTCTGCTAAAGTCATATAGTTTCATTCCAACATTTTCCCTAATATTCATTAATTTTTAGCCAATTCCCTAAATAGAAAATTTTCTTTATAAATTTTCTTCCAATCTTCATCCAACGTCCCTTCTTCCTGGTCTCGGATCGTGTCAGTCCTTACTGTCCATTCCATCTAGTCCATCAACCTGGAAGCCTTATGTCCGAGGCCCTTAAGTCTCTTCCATGTCCCTTCTGCAATTCTTCTCCTTCTTGTTTATACTTGCCCTTTTCCTTGTCTTTTGTTGGTCTCTTTCTTAGTTTCTTTCCTTTCTCATTGAGGGGTAGGCCTCTGGGGGATTCCAAGCCAAAATTGTCTCCATCTCCCTTCATCAAACCTGCCCATTCCCCATAGTCCCACTCCCCACAATCCTCAATATAGTCCAAAAAGTATTTAAAAGCATATTCCAAAGTCTCTCCAATGTTGGGAACCTCCTCAGCTCCAGACTCCCCCTGGCCCACTCCAACTTCAATCTTCAATGACAGCGGCTCATACTCCTGTAGGGCCTCGGGACTCTCCATTTGTATTATTTGGGGTGCAACCGCATCCTCCTCCATTATCTTCTGCACTTGCCCAGTCAGTACAGATTCATGAGTTGGTCCCTGGATAATTTCTGTATCAATATTCCCTGTTTGCCCACAGTTATTAACTGCAACAGTCAAATCCATTTTCTCATTCATCAAGTCCATCTTCTCATGCATCTGTTCCAGCAAGGCACTTGTCTTGCATAAGGCAAGCACCCAGTCTTCTTTCCAGCTCATCTTTAGTCAAGGTCAGAAAAGCCTGTTCCCACGGTCTTAATCTCACATCTGTTGAGCCCTCAAATGTACTGCAGCAACAATTTGACAAGCTTCCTCTAGAGGAGGCAATTTCTATTTGTATCCAATTTTTTTAGGCAAGTCCAACAAAGGAAAATTACTTTCGTTTTTCAGATATTTTTCAGATATTTTGTTTCTTTAGGATGCAAAAGGCAACATTGGAATCAGCTTGTTTCTCTTCTTTAGCTATCTGTCAAAATATTCCATTCACGGTCAGTGAACCTCTCCAACAATTTCTGTCTCTGACACCCCGTTCCCAGGTTAGAGACGGTGGAAACTTATCCTTCTTCACTCCCTCTCCTGCTAGGGTTGAACAAAGTCCCCCCCCTTTTCTCCTGCTTCCAAGGGGGTTTCAGTAATTCTGGATGAAGGAAATTTAGACTTTTTTGACAACTTTCCAGGCTTTAGCTTACAAAGTTTTTGCTTTAGTCTATATACAAAAAGCGGAAGGCAGACTTCCTGTTTTGAACCTTCCCGCTTCGTTACCAAATTAAGAAATTTCTTGATCCAATTTTCTGTTTCTACTCACGGGTACTTGTTTTAAATCCAATTGTCCTCAGGAAAAAGTCAGCGCTCTCCGGCAATGGCTGTGCGGCTTCACTCCATGAAAGTAGCAGTCAGTTCGCAGCACCGCGCTTCTCACCCCACTTCTCTCCGGAGCCCCTAAATGGGATTCCCTGTGAGTAGGGGGGCGCTCCTGGTGCCCTGCCGAACCCCACGTTCCCAGGCTTCCTCCGCCTGGGATTTCTAGCGGGTCCCCACCTTCGCCGTGGCGGGAAGACCCAGTTTCCACGGAGCCCGTTCCTCTGGACGGAGGAACTCCGCCATTCACCAATGGCGCTGACCCGGAAGTCCCAATTCCTGACTGTGAGCCTGATATTAGTTATCAGGAGACTACTCTATCTGATCCTGAACCACTTCCCATGGCATCAGAACCTGTAGAGACAGAGTCAGGACCCTCATGAGTGCCTTCCCCTGTGCCTGATGAACTGTGTGCCTCCCAAACCACCTTGATAGCTCAATAGTGCATGGAGTACAAGCAAATGCCTGTACAGTGGTACCTTGGGTTAAGAACTTAATTTGTTCTGGAGGTCCATTCTTAACCTGAAACTGTTCTTAACCTGAGGCACCACTTTAGCTAATGGGGCCTCCTCTTGCTGCTGCTGCGCTGCCGGAGCATGATTTCTGTTCTCATCCTGAAGCAAAGTTCTTAACCCGAGCTACTACTTCTGGGTTAGCGGAGTCTGTAACCTGAAGTGTCTGTAACCTGAAGCGTCTGTAACCTGAGGTACCACTGTATTCAAGTCAGAGCATTGGCCCTTTAGAAATTCTGCTTCTCAAAAAGGAAGCAGAGCTTAGGAAAGACAAACTTGGGGACACAGACTTAGCTTGAGTGAGTTGGTGTGAGTTGCTCTCCTGGAGCTCTCCATGATGCTGCCATACTTCACCTGCCTTGCTCCATAGAACCAGAAGAGGACACTCTAGCTACAATGCCACACTAGCTCTCAGTGATCTTTCCCAGCCCAGCTGCTTGAAGTTATTTTTGCAGAAGATGTTGAAAATGTAGCCTGGGACTGCTTTGTATGGGCAATTCAACTAACTGAATAAGCCAGCACAATAAAATGGATTATTATCACCAATCATCATCATCATATTTTTTTTAATCAGCATCAAAGCATAATATAAATATGTTAGGTAGCCCTTCCCATTTTGTGTATTTGGGTAGGTTTTACCTAATGAGCCACGTCAGCAGAAGCCCTGATCAAGGACTTCCACTTGTGCAATGTGGCATCCCCACCCAATTGGCTCCGGGAAGGGTCAGAAAACAGCCCCTCCCCGAATAGAGCACAGGGGGCAGAGAGGGGGAATCATTCTGTCTAAATATTCATCATAGTGTGGCACTGAATTTTGCCCTGTGTGTTTTAAAATCAGCGCATCTCAGAAAGTAGGTTTGACTTGAATACTAACAAGTTCCATTAGAAATAGTAAATTTCCTCCATTTAATTTACATTGGCCACTTCTTCTAAACACTACTCATTAAGCTCTGGCAACTGGGTTTCCTGGCTGTGGGTGCTCCCCAAAGGCCTTGCTCTCCAGCGATGTACCAATGTTGCAGACACTGCAGATCAGCAGAGTTCACAAATTTATATGTGGAGTTTAAAAATAAATGATGTATCAAAGTAGGGCCAGTTTCCCTGTAGGGTATTTATGGCAAGGAAAAATAATCTCGTATCTATTGTTCATTTACTTTCAGGGAATTAGCTCTTCGGATGTTAATTCAAATAAATAAACTGAAGGTGATAATGGCCGAAATAAGTTTTCATGCTGCTTGTAAGCAAAGGGACATTGAAAAGCTGCTGTGTTCTTTTAAAAATGCATAGTTAAGGTTTTATTCAAAATGCCATTAATGTTTTAAAGAGCTGGCATACAACAAATCATATGAGACGTGCAGCTTTCAGCCTTATGAAATTTATGGACAGGCTATGTTGAAAAATGAAAGAGAAGAAAAGACAAGGAAGGCACTTAGATCTGATCTTGTTTTTGAAGCAAATGCTATCATTACACTCTGTTTTAAATTGTAATACAGTTTTTGATGGTCTGAGATCTAGCTCCGAGAGCCTTCTGGAGGTTCCCTCACTGCGAGAAGTGAGGTTACAGGGAACCAGGCAGAGGGCCTTCTCAGTGGTGGCGCCCGCCCTGTGGAACGCCCTCCCATCAGATGTCAAGGATATAAGTAACTATACAACCTTTAGAAGACATCTGAAGACAGCCCTGTATAGGGAAGTTTTAAATGTTTAATGTTTTATTATGTTTTTGTATATGTTGGAAGCCACCCAGAGTGGCTGGGGTAACCCAATCAGATAGACAGGGTATAAGAAGTAAATTATTATTATTATTGCTATTATATAAATCTAGGAGTAGCACTAGTATTAGCCATCTAACAGCTCTGTTCATCTCAAGAATATGCTTAGCAATGGGGGGGGGGGGGCATAAAAAACATCCGTTAGGGTGGTTTGATAAGAGAGATGCATCTTGTGTTGGTTGTAAATTCAAAAAAATACAAAAAAAAAGTCCCAGGTATGGCAGGTTTTACACATTTATGTACCTGCTATGTGCCAGTCCTTAAAGATTCTCTAAATATGTTTGGGCGTTTGAAGAAATCAAGTGTGTGCGTGTGCGTGAGTGTGTGTGTGTGAGAGAGAGACAGAATGAGAATTTCAGTTTCAATGCCTTCCCTTAATGGAATGATAGAAATGTAAGCACATTTTTTTATTAAAAAAATTAAAAATTAATTTTAGCCCTAGGATTTGCATTTCAAATCACATAATAATGGAATAATTTATGAGCCTCCTTTAGTAGTCTGCATGGAAAGATTAAGTATTAACCACTTCCATTACTTTTATCATAATCTAGAATGGCTCACTCGAAATCACATTCCTTCGCTGCAGTGTGAAAAGCTTTCAGTGCGTGGCTGGGAGGTTGGAACGATGAAACAATTGCTGACGGGTTTCAACATTTGTGAGATCACAAGTGAGTAGCAATGGCCAGCTCAAAACTTTTTGCTGGCTGAATAAAGGACCAGACCATGTCATTTTCCATATGCAGAAGCTGGCCAGAGCAGCACTTAATTCTTACTTCAAGACTCATGAAAGTCCTATGCTATACCTGAGAGAAAGAAGCTGATTTTAAGGGATGTAGGGCACACCTGACTCTCCAGCATCCTGCTGCTGATTTGTAGCTCCCCAGCACCTGCTGCCTGAGGCAGCTGCTTTATAAGACCAATGACCCATTTAGCCCAGCATCCTGTTCTCACCGTGGCCAACCAGATGCCACTAGTAGGACCCAAGCACAAGAACTCTCTTCCCTCCTGTGGTTTCCAGCAACTGGTATTTAGGAACATTACTACCTCTAGCTGAAGCAGCAGAGCCATTGATAGCATCGTCCAGGTCTTTATGTGCAGTTATCATTTGCCTTCCTGGAACCGCTGGCTCACAAGTTACTCTGGGCCTGGAGCACATTATAAGATTTTTGTGTGTTTTTTTGCATTTAGAAGTATATGTGCATGAAGCAGAGACATCACCTTGCCAACAAAGGTCCGTATAGTTAAAGCTATGGTTTTCCCAGTAGTGATGTATGGAAGTGAGAGCTGGACCATAAAGAAGGCTGATGGCTGAAGAATTGATGCTTTTGAATTATGGTGTTGGAGGAGACTCTTGAGAGTCCCATGGACTGCAAGAAGATCAAACCTATCCATTCTTAAGGAAATCAGCCCTGAGTGCTCACTGGAAGGACAGATCGTGGAGCTGAGGCTCCAGTACTTTGGCCACCTCATGAGAAGAGAAGACTCCCTGGAAAAGACCCTGATGTTGGGAAAGATGGAGGGCACAAGGAGAAGGGGACGACAGAGGATGAGATGGTTGGACAGTGTTCTTGAAGCTACCAGCATGAGTTTGACCAAACTGCAGGAGGCAGTGGAAGACACGAGTGCCTGGCGTGTTCTAGTCCATGGGGTCACGAAGAGTAGGACACGACTAAACAACAACAACAACGGCATGATTTGGTTTCTATCCATACTTTTGTGCACTGCCCTGGAATCTTTTGGATGAAGGGGTCTTTGAGAAATAGTTTTTAAAAATAAATGGAAAATTAAATGCAGATTCCATAGCTCATTTCCCTCTCTCCCCCACCCTGCCCCATCTCCTCTCCAACCCCCAGTTTGCTTAACATCCAGTTTCATGAACAGCTGGAAAACATGCTCATGATTTTATGGCCTTCTGCTTTTTCCTAATAACAGTGTTGCCTGACTGTAAATTTGTGGGTTTTCCTTATGGTCTAACTTGCCTTCTGATTTTGTTGTGTCTTTGTGTGTGTTAACATGATGATTCATCCTGAAATATCGACATTTGGAGGATGCAAAGTGAAATCTACATATTCTAAGGGCCAACCAAATGATGACACATTGCACAGCTTTAGGATTGCTCTTTTACAAGTCACACCAAGCAGCTCTAGCTGTGTGAGGAGCCTACAGACTCTTACCCTGTGGCAAATTGAGCTGCGCCAAGGGACTACCTCTTCCTTGCTCCCCTTTCCCTGTGGTTTGGGGGCTACAATGGGATCCTCAGCTTGCCACATTCTTGGTGCCAAAGAGCTTCCTTCCCTGGGATCATAAATTAAATGGTCCTCTGTATTTATGCTATGCAGTGTAACAAGGAGAACAGGAAAAAACCCAATTAAAAAAACAACACACATTTGCAGCTGTACAACCTTTATGAACTGGAATAACTTTATTCCCTTCACACTCCAGTGAAACAATACCTTGACAAAATGATTCATTGAGAACAGATGCTGGCAGTTTGACTGAGGTGCCTGTAGCAAGTTTAAAGGCAACTTTACATCTATCTGATCTAAGGCCTTTGACTACTGGAAAAGCCCTCTGTCTCTTTTTTAAGTACAGCATGGAGAGGCAGCAGAAGTGTTCTGATTAATTTTTATAGGGGTAAAACTGCTGCAAGCAGAGAACCTGTTCCATCAGAGGAAAGAAAAGGAAAAGAAATAAGAGTGAGAGAGTCGTGTGTTTTAAAGGGGTTCCTGAATAACTTTAGTTGGTGTTTATTGACTCGTTAATGGATGGCAGTGGTACCTTGACTTTTATATTTAATGGTATGATGAAAAAAGATGCTCTTCAATAGGTGCCACAAAGGCATTGCAGAAGGGGTCTGTCTGATACAGAACAACAGTGCATTCAAAAGGGCTAATGCCACCACACTAAAGACCTAATTCCTATACCAGAATAATAAAAGTTTCCCCAGCCCTGCCCTAGCCACTCTGGGCGGCTTCCAACAAAATATTAAAATACAGTGGTCTGTTAAACATTAAAAGCTTCCCTAAACAGAAGATGGTGCTTGCCTAACACCATTCAGGATTGAGTTGAATAACTATGAGGCCACTGCTAAGAAGGCCCTGTTGTTTGCCTGCCAACCTAATTGCCTTTGAAGGTGGGCACTGAAGCATGCTGCCTTACATGGATCATAAGACATGGGCAGCTGCTATGGGTCCAGGTGATTCTTCATGTCACCTGATCCCAACGTGTTTTGGCCTTTAGAGGTCACCACTAAGCACTTTGTATTGGGTACCAGTGCGACGTGTGCAATATAGGTGTAATAAGCTCCAACGTCCTAGTCGTTTCCTGGGCAGCTGCATTTTGTACCAGTTTAAGTTTCTGAGCCATCTTTAAAGGCAGCCCCATTTAGAGCACCTTCCAGTCTGGGAACAGAGCCCTAGAGAATAGAGCTTTGCATGTTAGATACATTTAACACCACATGTGACCCTCGGATGACTACAGCCTGCAGTGTAGCTCAGCTAGGACCTTCTCCAGAGAACTGATTTACAGTATGAAACATCTTTCGGGTCAACAACAAATATGGACACTCATCCTGCAACTGCATGGAAGAGGAGAATAACATTCTCACATTGCATCCTCCAGTTGTCCCCCCTCGAAATCTGAGCGACGGAATAAGGAAAGGCAATTCTTCTGTAAGAAAGTTGGGCTGTGCCCTCAATTTGGCTGAAGCCCAAACTTGAACCATATTTGGCTGATTTGGGCAGAGAGATCCTGACATCAGCTAAGTTGGTGGCAACAGCCCCACATCACCCCACAGAGAGGGCGCTTGAGATGCAGCACCCAGGAGGATTAAACTTCCTATTCTCCATGCAGCTGGAGGGGAGAGATGCAGTATCTCCTTCTCCTCCCCCCCAAAAAAACATTAGCTCCACCCCAAAATTTATTCGGGGCCAGATCTGGATCGGGTGTAACTCATTCAGCCTGGATCGGATGGGTGGGTGTGCTGTGCACAGCTGTTTAAGAAAGGCCTGTCCACAAGCCCATTCCATTGATCAACTTCTGAGGCAGAGAGCCATGTCCTTCTCTTGGCTTCCCCATGCCCTTTGTCCACTGAGTTTTCATAAGATGATATAGCACCTGTACCTTTAATAGCAACATGAAGGGGAAAGGGCAGAATTCAGCAGCTACCTTGTCCAGCACAAGTGAAGAGGTCCTCTTGGCTTCTGCCTGACACACAGTTGTGAGAATGGCCAGAGTCTTTCTCGGGAATAAAGATGGCACCCCTAACCCCAGGAAAATCCCAGAATGGACCTTAATATGAGAGTGTACTCCCTTTCACCTAACCTTTGGCATATATTTTTAAAAGCCACAAGCGCTTTTATCAAATTAAACTCTGACCTTTTAAAATTAAATTAACCTCATAGTGTAAATCAGATTAGACGTGAGACAATCTCAATTTATCCTGATTTCTCCCCGATTATGTGTCATTAAAATCTGCCCTGTTTGAATTTCACTTCCTTTGGATGACCTTAAGAGAATTAACCCAGAATTCTCCTACGATGCCACAGTCTTGCTCACTGCATTGAAAAAAGAAGAGCCAGGCTATGTCCCCCTCCTGCTCCTTTCGAATTGTACTGATTGTAATTGTGAGAACATACAATTCTACATTGTTGTTCTGACACTGTGAAGGATAGTGTAAACCTCCGAGACAAATTCTTTAAAATCTAATCAGGTGCTTGAAGGGAGACATTTAGACAGGATGACTGATTTTACAGAGCCATAAACTAAGGCCAGAGAGAACATGTACTTATCTTGCTCTGAGAAGGTGTCTATCTGCATATAAATATTGTTTTATTAGTACTATTGCTGAGGAAGACTTGGATCAACATGCATTGCACACATTTTTATCTTTTTTGATGCTGCAACTGAGTGAATCTGTGAACATTGTCATATGATGACTGGTCTTATTTAGGTCACAGAAATGTATATGACCTGCGTTTTGGGTCTTGCAGCTGATTTGAATACTATTTTGAGTATTGCTAGTTGGCATTGTAAAGAGATGCATAAAATAAAATAAAATAAAATAAAATAATAATTATGTTGCATATCTTTTTCTATACACTTATTCTGTGCATTGTGGGATGCAACCATGACCCTACCCTCCAAAAAAGTAAACCCAGAGAGAATTAACACACAAAGCTACCCTTATCTATGTCCAAACTGAATTTGTCTGCCTAAGATGCAGATGGCAGAAAACCTTCCTGCCAGGTTTTGTAGCATTGCATGGAGGACCGTTTTGCTGGCTGATGTCAGCAGACTAAAGGTTAAACTTCGCTATAAATTAAAGATTACATTCAAGCTAAATATAAAGACCCTTATTTTGAATTATACATACCGGAAAAGCTATTGCTCTCTGGTAAAATTTGAATGCAAAGTAAATACAGTCACGGCTTGAAAAAATTACATTAGTTCACATTAATTTTTAAAAAGTTAAGGAGTTTCTTTTTTGGCAGTATCGCTAGGTATAAACAGAAAACCCTTGGCATTCTCTTCTGGGCTCCTTCCTAGGATCTTTCAATACTGGTGTGGTCATTATCAGAAACCTGCATTTACACAGAGAAGCTGTGCAAGTGCCACTTCCCCTTTGCATATGCACATTCCACAAGTCCTACCTTAGTTGTGTGCACATTTCCCTAGTTCCCTATTTTTTGTTTATTTTTGAAATGCTAATATTCTCAGGGCCTCCTTGGTGGTTGCTCCCAGACTTTGAAACACCCTTTCCACAGAAGCTAGACTGGCTCCCTCCTTGTTGTATTTCTTCCAGCGGGTGAAGGCTGTTTTATTCTGACTGGCCTTTGGGAGCTGTTTTTTTAAGGTAAGGGCTTTAATAGCGCCATGCTGCTTTTATTATCTGTATTTTAATATATTTTTACACTATTTTAATTCTATTAGAGTTTCATTGCAGTGGTACCTCAGGTTAAGAACTTAATTCGTTCTGGAGGACTGTTCTTAACCTCAGGTACCACTTTAGCTAATGGGGCCTCCCACAGCCATCGCACCGTCGCCACGCGATTTCTGTTCTCATCCTGAAACAAAGTTCTTAACCCGAAGTACTATTTCTGGGTTAGCGGAGTCAGTAACCTGAAGTGTCTGTAACCCGAGGTACCACTGTACTTTCTAACGATTCTCTTTTATGTTTTTAGCTTTGGTATGTTATTTGTGTTGTTTCAATTTGGGTAAGCTGCCTTGAGCCTGGGAAAAGGTGAGATATAAATAAATGCCATCATAATTTCTTTTGAATTTTTATAATTTGAATTTGCATGTTTATTCTTTGTGAGTCACCTTGGGTGGCATTTTTCAGTCCCAAAGCAGCATGGAAATAAGCAGTAACAAAACAACATGCATTTAAAGCATGTTTAAAAAGCACATGGCTCCCCCCAAATAATCCTGGGAACTGTAGTTTTCCCCTTGCACAGCTTCTATTCCCAGCATCCTTAACAAACCACAGCTGCCAAGATTATTGGGATGAAGCCATTTACTTTATATGTCTGGTGTAAATGTGACCTGTGTAACCTGATTTTAGTTGTGGACCATGCCTGTACAACTAGCATGCCAGGATATGATCAAAAAGGCCTCAGGCATGTAACTCTAATTGATTGGCTTTCATTCCACCATCATTTTCCACCATCATTTTCCCACAGTGAATAAGGACAGAGAGTCTCTTTAAATAAAATTGATTGTTACCGCT